GAGAGACATCTTAGCAGTAACTGGCATGTCATGACAAGCCGCCCATAATCAGAATACCACAATGACAGGCACTCCCAACATGAAACAACTAATACTCATGTTTTTAACTGAGGTATAAAAGATGCCTTTAAATAGATTCTTATGGTTCTATGAGAAGGAAAACTTACTCAATTTGCCTTCATGGATTTTTTTCTGGTACACTTTTCTTCTCTAGGTTTTTCCTGGTGGAACTTTTTAAATGTTTTATAATAACATGTGTGATTTAGTTTCTCCATTGTGTGCTTATATTTTACTCCCATTGTTTTTCATTTAAAAATATTTAAATATTAATTTAATCAATATAACACACATACTTTAAAGTTAAATTGTTTATAAGGACCTAACTGAAAACTTCCACTATAACCCTTGCCTTTCCAAACCCCTATCTCTGTCTTCATTCAATTACAGAGTGAAGTACTTTGACTTTTTCAAGTTTTTCTTGCATCATTTCATTCCATTTTTATAAATAATATGCTCATAATACTGTTCCTTATTTATCTATCTAGATATTTTGTAGTATTTCCTTTATAGTAGATAAGCAATTAACATTACCTTATTCCTTCCCTCATCCTTTATATCAGTGATACAGCAATTTTTAGTAATTATATTAGTTTTAATATGTAAATGTTATTCCTAAGTAAATCAGCAATGTTTTCTATTTCTTTTATTTTCTTAGTGTTAATAATACTTGCTTTACATTTTAAAACTGCCAGTGTATGTACTTACGGTGAATTTACATGAAGCTTATAGACAAAATCAAAGAACTCCTACTAATGCTTTATATAGATCATCTTTAGGTAATCTATCATTTTCATTTTTTTCTTAATGATATCCTTTTTCAGATTATTCACACTCTTGGACTCACTAGTGATGGTTGATCACGTGGCCCATTATGTAGCTGCTGACTTGCATGGTCCCTTGCCTCTATCCTCTGCTTGGCCCTGTACATACTTAATCTGAGTTTCTGTTGCCTTCTAACATTTGTCTGTTTTAATCTCTGTCTTTTTTTTAATTGACATCAGCTATTTTTATTTTAAAGAAAGAAAAAAAATAAAAAAAGTGGTACAAAATCTCAAAACAAGATTTTAGGAGAGTAACAATGGTTAGTACATTGTGTATTGTTATTGCCAAAGTAGTTTCTCATATTACAAGATATAGGCAAGAAATAATAAGCAAATAACATAGGTACAAA